CTCATTGTGCTTCGTTCAGTTGCGTATTGCTCTCCCCCACTTGTGTTGTAGGGACCACATGCTTGTAGGCCGCCACCCCACTGGTGTTGTGAGGGGACCACATGGGGCAGGCACCTCCCCGCTTGTGTTATGGGGGACCCATGGTTGTGAGTTGCACCCACTGGTGTTGTGGGGATGACATGTGGTTGTAGGCTTGGCCCGCTGATGTGTTGTGTGAGCCACACAGGTTGTGGCCGCCTCCCCTCTGGTGTTTAAAAACCACGTGGTTTGTAGGCCGCTTCCACGCTTGAGTGTTTGTGGGGGACCACATGGTTGTTTTCCCACTGGTGGGTGTGGGGGCCACATGGTTTGTAGGCCGCATCCCCACTAATGTTGTGGGGGACCGTGGTTGTTGTGCCTCCCACTGGTGTTGTGGGTTTTTGGATGCTCATGGGCACCTCCCCTGCTGTTGTAGGGGACCACATGGTTGTGGGCCGCCTCCCCCTGCCTGGGGACCACATTGCTGTGACCGCTTGCCCACTGGTGTTGTGGGGGACCACATTTTGTAGGCAGTCTCCCCACTGGTGTTGTGGGGGGCACATTTTTGTGAACCTGCCTCCCCGGCTGGTGTTGTAGAGCACATGGTTGTAGGCCGCCTCCCACTGGAGCTGTGGGGGACCACATGGTTGTAGGCTTACTCGCCCTGGTGTTATAGGGGGCCACTTGGTTGTGGCCTTTCCTCAGTGTTGTTGTAAGGGGCCACATGGTTTGTAGGCCACCTCCCACTTTGGTGTTGTAGTGGACACATTTTTTGCTGGGCTACCTCCCCCACTGGTGTTGTGGGGGAGTACATTTTTTTTTGTAGGCCGCCTCCCACTGGTGTTGTAGAGGTTTTGTTTTGTAGACCCTCACATGGTGTTGTAAGAGGACATGGTTGTTGGCCCTTACTCCCACTCTGTGGGGGACCGACAGTTGTGGCGCCTCGCCGCTGGTGTTATGGGGGGACCACATGGTTGTGGCCTCCTGGATTGTGGGGGCAACTGTTTTTGTAGGCTGTCTCTCCGGTGGTTTTGTGAGGGGGACTTTACTTGGTTTGTGGGCCTCCTCACAGTGCTGGGGGGGACCACATTGTTGTTGTGCCGCCTCCCCATGGGGTTTCTGGGGACCACATGGTTTGGGCCTTTCCCATGGTGTTGGGACCATGGTTTGTGGCCGCTTCTCCTTGTGTTGTGGAGCGGATGCATGGTTTGTGAGCCGCCTCCTGCCGTTGTGCGGGGACTCACATGATTGTGGGTGCCTCCCCACTGGTGTTGTAGAGACCACATGGTTTGTGCTGCACTTCGCCACTGGTGTTGTGGGGCGATCAGTTGTTTGTGGGCGCCCTCTCTTTGACGTTGTGGGGATCCTTGGTTGTGGGTGCCTCCCCACCCATGTTGTGAGGGGACGGCATTGTTGTGGGCCTCCACTGATGTTGTGGGACATTTTGTTGTGGGGCCTCCCCACTGGTGTTGTGGGGCACACGTGGTTTGACATCGCCACTCCCAGTGATGTTGTGGGGACCATGGTTGCGCGTGTCGCCGCTTCTGGTGTTATGAGGGGTTCCATGGTGTGACCTCCCCACTGGTGTTGTAAGGGGACTCATGGTTTTGTGGCCTCTTATAGTGATGTGGGGACCCCGTGGTTGCCTCTAAGCCAGTGATTTAGGGGGATCTGGGGTTTGTATTTTACTTCCTATGGTGTTGTAGGACATGAGGTTATAAGCTGCCTCCCACTGTTGTGGTTCCTGATGGTTTGTAGGCCGCTTTTCCTTTGTTGTTTGAGGACCCACTGGGTTGTGTGCTTCCTGCTGGTGTTGTGGGGATCCATGGTTTGTGACCTCTCTTGAGGTTCTGGTTGTGGAGGGTGCTCTTGCTGGTGTTGTAGAGGGGGACCATGGGTTGTAGGCCTGCCTCCCCACTGTGGTGTTGTGGGGGACACATGGTTTGTGAAGCGCCTCTCTTTGACGTTGGCAAGGACACATTGTACCTCCCTCTGGTGTTTTGGGGGATATGGTTTGCATTTTCATTGTGGGGTATACTTGGTTTTGTGGTTTCTCCCTTGTTGAAGGGGACATTTTCACATGGTTGGGCCTCCCCTACTGGTGTTGTGAGATACATGGTTTGTGGCCTCCTCCACTGGTGTTGTAAGGGGCCCATTGTTTGTGGGCGCCTCCCACTGTGTTGTTGAGGGTCCCGCATGGTGTGTGCCTCCCCTGGTGTTGTGGGGGACCACTTGTGGGCCTCCTCACTGGGTGTGAGGGACCACATTGTGGGCCGCCTCACTGGTGTTGTGGGGGTGACCCATTGTTGTGGGGCGCTTTCCCTTTTATTTGTTGTAGAGGGACCATGTTGTGGGCCGCCTCCCTGTGTTGGAGAGGGACCACATAATTGTAGGCCGCCTCCCACTGGTGTTGTGGGGAGACCACATTGTTGTGGGCCTTTACTGTGGTGTTGTGGAGGACATAGTGGCGCCTCACTTTCTGGTGTTGTGGGGACCATTGCTGTCACCTGCCCCCACTGGTGTTGTGGGGGACCACATGGTTGTGCCTACACTGGCATTGTGGGACCACATGGTTGTAGGCGGCCTCACTGGTGTTTGTGGGGGACCCCATGGTCGTAGGCCGCCTCCTTTGGTGTTGTAGGGACCACATGGTTGTAGTGCCTCCACTTGTGTTGTAGGGGGTCCACATATATTGTGGGACGCCTCATAACTCGTGCTAGGACCACATGGTTTTGTGGGCCGCCTCCCCACTGTTGCAGGGTGCTTGGTTGTGGCCACCCCACACTGATGTGTAGAGGGGATCCATGTGTTTGTGGGTTGGGTCCCACTGATGTTGTGGGGGGACCATGGTTGTGGCCTCCTCGCTTTTTTGTTGTGGGGACCACATTGTTTGGAAACTGCCTCCCCACTTTGTGGGTTGACCATGTTGTGACACCTTCACTGAGTGTTGTGGGACCACATAGGTTGGCCACCTCCACATGTTGTAGGACAGTTTGTGAGGCACTTTTCACTGGGTGATGTGGGGATGTTGGTTGTGGTAGCGTTACTTGTGTTGTGGTGGGGCACATGGTTGTGAAGGCCTCCCCTCCTGGTGTTCTAAAAAGTTACCACATGGTTTTACTTGCAGTCTCTGTGGTGTTATAAGGGACCACACAGTTTGTAGGCCGCTCCCCTGGTGTTGTGTGGGGGACCATGGTTATATTCCTCTGTGGTGCTGTGGGGGTCTGGTTGTGTGACGCTTTCACTGTGGTGGTGGGGACATGGGTTTATGGGCTGCCTCCTGGTGTGTGTATGGGTGTGGCACTCTCTCCTCTGTTGGTTTGTTAGCTGCCTCCCCTGTGCTGTTGTGGGGGGGACCACATTGTTGTGGCGCCTCTATGGTGTTTATGTGGGGACACACATTTTAGCGCTTCCCACTGGTGTTGTAGGGGATTTTAACCAGCTCCTCCACTGGTGTTGTAGAGGCATGGTTGTGCTTTTACTCTGGCGCTGTGGGGAACCATGGTTGTGCTTCAGCTGGTGTTGTAGGGGGGGCCACATGGTTTGTAAGCCGCCTCTCTACTGGTATTGTAAGGGGACACATGGTTTGTAGGCCTCCCCACTGGTGTTGTGGGTGGATTTTTTTGTGAGCCTCTCACTGTGGTGTTGTAGAGGGACATGGTTGTAGGCCGTCTGCCCTTGATGTAAGATTCCCGCGGTGCCAGAGCCGCCTCGCCGCTGGTGTTATAAGGGAGCCATGATTTGTAAGCGCCTCTCCACTAGTGTTGTAAGGGACCAAGTGGTTGTGGTGCCGCCTCGCTCCAATTTGTGGGACAACATGTTTGTGGCTGCCTCCCCACTGGTGTTGTATGGGGACCACTTGGTTGTGGGCCGTCTCTCCCACTTGTGGGGGGACCATTGTTGTAGGCCGCCTCCCACTGGAGTTCTAGGGGACCCACATGGTTTGTGGGCCGCCTTTCACTGACGTTGTGGGGGACTCCATGGTTGTAGGGTGCCTCACTGTGTTTGTGGGGGACCCACATGTTTGTAAGCCGCTTTCCTCGAGGTGTTGTAGGGGGGATCACATGGTTTGGCACCTCTCAGTGACGTGTGATCACATGGTTGTAGGAGTGCTCGCACCATGTTGTCAAGGGCCACATGGTTGTGGGCCTCCCCACTAGTGTTGTAGGGACCCACAGTTGTAGGCCGCCTCCCACTGGTGTTGTGGGGAACCACGTTGACTGCAAGCCTCCCCTTGTGTTATAGAGGACACATGGCGGCTCACTGGTGTTGTGAGGGACCCACACAACGCTGTGCCGCCTCCCCACTGGTGTTGTGAGGGGACCACATGGTTGTATGCCTCCCCAGGACCCACATGGTTGGCAGCCTCCCCACTGGTGTGGTGTGGGACCCTGTGGTCGTGGGCGCTTGGTGTTGTAAGGGGACACAGTTTTAGGCCGCCTCCACTTGTGTTGTGGGGACACATAATTGTAGGACGCCTCACCAGCTCGTGTTTAGAGAGATCATGGTTGTGGCCGCCTCCTGGCTTTGGTGTGAGAACCCATGGGTTGTGAGCCTTGAGAATCTGGTTGTGAGACAGGTCCCCGCTTTTGATGTTGTAGGGGAGACCCAGTTGTAAACCGCCTCCCACTCTTTTTTGTGCTGAGGACACATGGTTGAAAACCTCCCACTTAAGGGGACCACTTGTGCCGCCACCTCCTGATGTTGTAGGGGGCAGCTTGGCATTTGTAGGCAGCATCCCATGATGTTGTGGACACATGGTTTTGCGACCTCCGCCTCCCTCTTGTGGTTCTCTAAGGAAGCCACATGGTTGTAGGCCGCCTCCACGCTGTGTTGTGGGGGATCACATGGTTGTGGCTGCACTCCACTGGTGATGTGAGACACATGGTTGTATGACCACATCCCACTAATGTTGTGGAGGACCAAATAGTTGTTGAGCCGCACTCCCCACTGGTGTTGTGAGTAGGACCCGCAGCTGTAGGGGCGGGTCCCCACTGATGTTAGTATGGGGACCACATGGTTGTAGGCCGCCTCCTCTTGTTGTATGGGGACCACATGGTTGGAAAGCCACCTCCCACTTGTGTTGTAAGGGGACCACATGCTTGTAGCCCGCCACCCCACTGGTGTTGTAGGGGATGACATGGTTGTAGGCAGCGTCCCGCTGATGTGTGAGCCCCACATGGTTTGTAGGCCGCCTCCTCGTGTTGGCTACCACATGGTTGTGTTGGGCCGCCCACGCTGGTGTTGGTGGGGACCATGTGGTTGTAGGCTGCCTCCACTGGTGATGTAGGGACCACATGGTTGTGGGCCGCATCCCACTAATGTTGTGGGGGGTTGGTTGTTGGCCGCCTCCCCACTGGTGTTGTAGTGGGACCACATGGCTGTAGGCCGCCTCCCCACTGCTGTTGCTGTAGGGGACCACATGGTTGTAGGCCGCCTCCCACTGCTGTTGTGGGGGACCACATTGCTGTAGGCCGCCTCCCCACTGGTGTTGTGGGGGACCACATTTTGTAGGCCGTCTCCCCTGGGTGTTGTAGGGGGCACTTTTGTAGACGCCTCCCTGTTTTGAGGGGAGCACATGGTTTGTGGTGCCTCCCCACTGGCGCTGTAGGGGGACCACATGGTTGTAGGCCGCCTCGCTGGTGTTATAAGGGGGGCCCATGGACAGCCTCTCCACTGGTGTAGTAAGGGACCACATGGTTGTAAGCCACCCCACTGGTGTTGTGGGGGGACCACATGGTTTGGGCGTCTTGCCGCTGGTGTAATAAGGACCACATGTGCCCTTTCGCCGTGGTGCTGCAGGGACCACATGGTTGTAGGCCGCCTCCCACTGGAGTTGTATGGAACGTGTTTGTAGGCTGCTCTCCATTGGTGTTGTAAGGACCACTTGGTTGTGGGCCGCCTCCCCACTGGTGCTGAGGGACCCACATTGCTGTAGGCCGCCTCCCATTGAATTCTAGGGACCACATTTGGCAGGCCGCCTCACTGGTGTTGTAGGGGACCACATGGTTGTAGGCCACCCATTTGTTGTAAGGGGACCACATGGTTGTAGGCCGCCACCCCACTGGTGTTGTAGGGGGATGACATGGTTGTAGGCAGCGTCCCGCTGATGTTGTAGCGGGCCACATGGTTGTAGGCCGCCTCCCCTCTGGTGTTCTAAGGAAACCACATGGTTGTAGGCCGCCTCCACGCTGGTGTTGTAGGGGGACCACATGGTTGTAGGCTGCCTCCCCACTGGTGATGTAAGGGGACCACATGGTTGTAGGCCACATCCCCAACTAATGTTGTAGGGGGACCAAATGGTTGGCCGCCCACTGGTGCGAGGGACCACATGGCTGCAGGCCGCCTCCCACTGCTGCTGTGGAGGACCACATGGTTGTGGTGGCCGCCCCACTGCTGCTGGTGAGGGGACCACATTGCAGGCCCCCACTGGTGCTGTAGGGACCATGACCAGGCCGCCCCAACTGGTGCCAGGGGACACATTTTGTAGATCATTCTCCCACTGTTTTGTAAGGAGCACATGGTTGTAGGCTGCCTCCCCACCGGCGCTGTAGGGGACCCCATTGTTGTAGGCCGCCTCCCCGCTGGTGCTGTGGAAACACATACAGACTGCCCCCACTGGTGCTGTAAGGGACCACATGGTTGTAGGCTGCCTCCCGCTGGTGCTGTAGGGCCTGTGGTTGTGACCGCCCCACTGGTGCTGGGCGACCAAGGTGGTTGCAGGCCGCCTCCCACTGGTGCTGTAGGGGACCAGGCTGCAGGACGCCTACTGGTGCTAGGAGGTTACCACATGGTTGCAGACTGGCCTCCCCACTGGTGTTGTAGGGGACACACACAGGTAGGCCACCCCCACTGGTGCTGGGGGACCACATGGTTGTAGGCCGGCCTCACTGACGCTGGTGAGACCCACAGGCTGAGGTGCCCCCAATTGCGTTGTAGGGGACCACATGGTTGAGGCCGCCTCGACTGGTGCTGTAGAGGGATCACATGGCCAGAGGCCACCTCCTCACTGACGCTGAGGGATCACATGGTTGGGGTACCCCTGTCCCATGCTAGTAGGGGGACCGTTTCACATTGTTGTAGGCCGCCCCCACTGGTGCCAGGAAACCACGTGGTTGGGCGCCACCACTGGTGATGAGGGGGACCACATGGCTGTACGTCCCCTGCTGCCAGGCAAGACATGGGGACCATAGCGGTTGTGAAAATTACCCACTATTGCTGGAGGGGACCACATGGATGTAGGCTGCCTCCCACTTGTGTTGTAGGGGTACCACATGGTTATAGGCCACCTCCCCAGGGGTGCTGTAGGGGGATCACAAGGTTGTAGGCCGCCTCCCCACTGGTGTTGTAGGAGGACCACAAGGTTATAGGCTGCCTCCCCACTAGTGTTGTACTGGGACCACGTGGTTGTAGGCCGCCTCCTCACTGATGATGTAGGTGGACCACATGGTTGTAGGCCGCCTCCCCACTGGTGTTGTAGGGGGATCACATTGTTGTA